TGACCAAATTTCATTGACCTAGGTCAAACTGACGACGTCACAGGTCAGGTCAAAAGTCGGATTTTCACCGTTCACAGGCATTTCAAGAAATGTGTTGTGAAATCGAGTAAATTGGTAATTTATTGAAAATCATCGATAGTAAATTGTTCGTTAAACACATACTTTGCTATCTGAGGTCACTGATACCAGGTCAGACACAGGTCAGGTCACTGGGGGTCATAATATGAATGTGTCGTGTGATACATGTTTTATGGTCCATTTTACATGAAAAATGCGATTTTGTTGGTCAAGCAGCCTTTGAGCCAGCTTAACCCGGCCGGGCCCGGGGGGTAATCCCAACCACCGCAGCCCGGGGGGGGGGGGCGTTTTTCGCCCCCCCCCCCTGTCTAACTCCGTAAATAAGGGAGCTACGGAAACAAAAGCGATACCAAACGAAAGGTGCTTACGAGACGATTCTAATGCACCTAAAATTTTTGACCTCAGGTCAATTTTAAAGGTCAGAGGTCAAGGTCAAAGGCAAAAACCGCCACATGTGTAGTGATCTCAAAGTAAGCCTTCTAGAGGACGGCAGGCTGCATCAAACCGGCAAAATTGGCTGTCAAACGAAAGAAGAGAATCTGAGGATTCTGAAAATGTGCTCAAAGTGAAAGGTCAAGGTCAAGGTCACGCTCAAAATTGACCTCAAACTTGGCACTTTTTCGCATATCTTGCGTGCTAACTTCCAATATGTTTTGAAATGTTTTGAGGCTTATCAGTTCCCTATTTGTGGTTCATCTTACGATACAAGGCTGCTCAAAGGTCAATGTCACAGAAGAGTACCCCTGCTAGAGGCTATTTCACTGATTCAAGTTAGTAATAATAAATAAGACAATTTTGCAATCCGGAAGCTCTAAATGAAGGCTTAGAGGAAAATAGATGCCAGATTCGTGTTCAGCAGGTACAAATCCATCATAAACGACCTTTCATGTGTCAAGGTCAACCAGAGGTCATTCGAGGTCACATGAGGTCAACATAAAATTTGACCTTTTCCGAACAAAATATATATCATTCGACGCGGCTTGACAAGGCGAATGCGATGGTACCACTGCCGTAGCTCTAGGACTATTTTTGTCGAAGTTATTTGCGAAAAACTAAAACCGCATTTCGGGGTCGTTGACCTGACCTCTGACCTCAGGTCACCAAAACTATTTTTCTATTTTTCTCTAGGTCAAACGCTACACAACCGTGCTCGTAATTTGTCTTTATCTCTAAAACTCTATTTTTAGCAGCTATTTGAAGTTTGCGTCTGTGACGCCGAAGTTTGCCGTGCAGGGGTCTAGAAAAATGGACCTTGTGACGTCATCAGGGGGGCTAGGTCCAAATTTTTTACTTCAGAAGATGTCAAATTGATGGGAGAAAAGGTACTGAAAGTTTCGCCTTCCTATCCCTAAGCGTTCGGGAGCTATCGCAAATATTCGCCAGGGGGGGGGGCGAAAAACGCCCCCCGGGCCCGCGAGGGTTAAGTTACGCTCTGGAGAAGATCAGGTCAAGGTCAGGTCAAATTAGGTCAAATTTCAAAGTTGGTATTTTTGCATAAAAAAATGGGTATCGATTCGATGCAGCTCGTCACGGGGAGTCTAATGGTGGTCTTTTTGTTGCCCTACGTGGTCCAGAATTGCCAAAAATTGAGTTTTAAAATTTGACGTCTTCATTTTTGAAGTGTTTTTTTGCTAAAACTTGACATAAATTGATCTGAAATTTGGTATGCAGAACGTATATAGAAGACGGTAGGTACTATCATATATATATATTCCGTTTTTTCAAAACTCAAAAACTTTTTGATTTTTTGGCTAATATATCCAAAAAAATACTTTTTATTTTTGGGGGTCAAAATTCAAAAATCGTAAAATTCCGAGACAGCAGTTTTGTAGCCCTGTCAATTCTACACCTTTATGTCTTGATCATTTTTTTTTCTGTATCTTCAAAGCTGTAGGCCTGACAGATCTCGCGAAGCTCTTTTTCGGTCGAAAATGGCAGAATATGATGTCATTCTGACGTCATTTGTGGCCAACCTATCATAGCCTCTGGATTTTTTTTTGGTAACGATGTGTAAAAGTGATGCCCGGAGGGGTCCTGAAAGTTTGGTGGAGATATCTGCAGCCGTTTAGGAGATATCGACGGAAAAGGACAGGGGGGGGGGCGTTTCGCCCCCCCCTTCGGGGCGCGGGTTAAAAGTGGTATGTTCCCTTCAAAGTCCCACTGATTTGCCCGAGCGGTGTGCGTGCCGGTACGCCTGGACACTTGTTTCGAGGAGCGCGTACTGCGCAGTTGCGGTGCGATGACCACGCAGCAGCAACTGTAGTTATGCATCATATATAACATTTGAGCATGACGCCCGCTATTATGTATATGCTGATTACGACATTGGTGGAATGGACTGGACTGAAAATAGTGCTATTTATAGTCGTCCTTTATTGGAACCATGACTAGCCACGCAGAAGGACCGTTGCATGAAATCAACGTAATGAGGCCGGATGGGTTGAATTTTTGTGAAGTCATCACTGATAATTGCAGAGTGGATGAGAAACAGAGACTCCTCAGCGTGGGTTGAAATAGTGTTCATGTGTTTCAGTGTAACTATGAGAAGTAAAAGCCGAGAGCTTACCACTGCGAAATAAATAGCATTACACTCTGAGCTTAGGTACTATAGTCTGTTCCATGTCAAGCTTGCGGCCGAAGCGCCCTGCTGAAAGCATGGTACGTGATTTCTGCACACGTAAATTACATTCTTACATTCAAATAGGTACGTAAATTATTGAACGGAGGAGCGAATTACTGAAGGAACTCCGACCACAAGCTTGATTTGAAACAGACTATACGCGGCCATCGTACCGGTTCGTTCACAATTGTGCTACGGTTGATAGCACGCTGAAAACAATTTATCACAATTTATACAATTTATACCGGTGAATAACCCGGTACCTACCCGCAACCATAGTTTTAACCATCGGCAGACAGGTTAACCCCCCCCCCCCATTCTTACCCGCTCAGTAGGTGCCATCCGGCAGACATCGGTGACAGGTGGATTACGGCTGTCATTGTTTGTTTTTGTTTTGTTGGGTTAGGCCCTTTCGGTCTGGCAAGACCATTTCAGAGCCGGGGGGATGATAGGAACTAGGGGGAGACATTGGTCTGGGCAGGCACCCTAGTGAGTCGCCGGGGCTGAGCCCGTCCAGAGGACAGGCCACCCAGCCCCAAGGCACTCACTGCACCCGGCTGCGGGGTGCGCCCCTCGGGAGCAGCGGCGCCGCCCCAAGGGAGCAGCCCGCATGAGATAAAGATGCCTGTCCAGCCCGGAGGTGGGTTGCGGCGTGGAGGAGAAGGATTTCAGTATCCTGAGGATAGAAGCACGGAACGGTGGCTGTCATTAATCAGACAAGCGAGATGACGGTCGGAAACCCGCTCTGCGCCGTCAGTTCCGCATCCCCACCGGGAGGATGGAGATGACATAATCCACGCGTTTGGTGGCGGGCGGCAGGTGCGGGCAATTTTTTGTTTTTGTTTTTGCGTTGTTTGCGGTGCGTTTTTGGCGTTTATCAAACAACCTGCGGGGTCCGGCGATGCCCTGTATTGCCCCTTTCATATCGTTGGACCCTATCTGTGCGGTGCTTGAGATAGTTCTGGGAGGGTATAGTTGGTCTACTTACCCTTCACCGAATTCCGGGTACTGGGCGGGTCTGCTGACGCAAAAACAAATACAAATACATACAAAACTTGCTTACTGTAACCTGCATCCTATTTCTCCCGTTGATAGGCATCTCATTGACTATAAGTTGATTTTGAATGATCAAGGTGAAAATTTGACCTCAGGCCAAAGTCATGACCTGACCGGAAAAGGTCGTGTTGCATATCACTGGCGATCCATATCGTCACTTGACGTCAACTTGAGTTGAACAAATCTTATGTGTTTTCATTGCTCTAGCATGCCTCTATCAAAAAGTATTAGCGAAAAAAACTGCTAGATATCATTCGTGATTGGGATGACCTCACAGACATAAAAAAGGTTACGGGTGTCATTTTCCGGTTCAGTGTGTCATGTTTACCTGTATTTCGGTGTTTTTAGTGTTTATGACATTCGTCCAAAAGAGGTGCCTTTCAATTTTCTCCCATTGACTTATACTGGAGAAGTCGCAAATCCACTTGACCTTAGGCCACCGATATTGTACATACTAATGCTGTTATCATATGTTGACAGTTTCCGTGAATGCTCAGTGCTGCCCTCTATGTCAGCTGACTTACAGCGGCACCGCTACCTGCGGCCTCCAGCTCAATGGAGCTGAGCTTCCTCGCTATCTGCAGCACCAATTCGACAGCCAGGCTACTCGGATGAAGATGACGCTGCAGTCGGCATGTCTGCAGTCTGTTTCGATTTTCGGACGAAAGTACGTATCGTGAAAGTACGTACGCAAATGTTCCTACGCAAGTGTACGTTAGGCGATAAAGTACACAAGGATAAAAGCACTCATCGATAAAAAGCAGCCTAAGCTGACCTGACCTCACCTGTTAACTGACTAAGCCTAACCTCATCCAACCTAACCCACCCCAATCTACTCCATCCAAAATCGTACTTTATTCCATCTCTAGGCGTCCATTTCTTTGTCCGATCTCACTCAACCTTGGCACACTGCTAGAGAACGGTTAGTAGAGCGTCGCGAACTGATCAGTTCCTGCTTCCAACAGCCCCTGATGCTTTTCTGACGTTTTCTTTTTCAAACAACCTGCGGTCCGGCAATGCCCAGCATTGCCTCTTCAGGTTTATACCCCATGAAAGACGAGGAGCTTTGAATCTAGCTATTGATTCTAGACGTAGTCGAGCATTTCTATTAGATGAATTCACTCAAATTGAGAAATGAAGCTACTGAGCTCTCATGTATCCATATTGAATCAATTTAACTTATTCGTAATTTGTGGATGAAGTGGCTCTCAGCAATAAATAACTGAACACGCATGTAACACATGGATCAGTTGCAACTTTATTTCATGCGAAAAACAAGTGGTGACAATTCATGACACGAGCAACGAAATAGGTACCCACGCAGTGTGCCTGAATAAATATATTAGTCCAGAATCAATTACCCAAGAGAACTGAGCAAAAAAGCGCATAGTACTAACGGGTTTAAAAATGATGCTCAATGCTCATAACATAATCCGTTTGTGAACGAGTCTACTTCATCATATTTCTGGGGTAGAGGTTGACGTCAAATAAGTTTTCTTGCATCTGAGTAAAATATCTAAGCAGCCTAACGCCAGCACTGTTTATAGATTAACCAGTAAAAATCCAGATACTACACCATAGTCAATAAACCAGCGTAGATACGGTGATGATAAGCTGAGTGAAATCCCGCCTTCCATTTCTGCGTGAGCATTGTTGCTGGCTCACATCAAACGCATACGATACAAACACACACGCACATTCACAAATATACACACGCACATTCACAAATATAGATACACACGCACATTCACAAATATAGATACACACGCACATTCACAAATATAGACACATGCACAAGCACATATTCACAAATACATTCACGAGTGTGCGCGTGTATAAACACACGCGCACACTCGCAAACATCCACCACATGAAGTGATCAACTGACAGATAACCTTTGCCAATTGGTGGCCTATTGTTTTCCCAAAATCAGCGCCGTCGGCGTTGGTAGTGTCTCAAAAATAGCGACAAAGAAGTCAAAAGAAGCCCAGTCTCGTGCCATACGTTGGAGTACTGTTGTTGGACGGACGGTCCAGCGCTAGGCAACGCCTAACAATCATATACCGGGCGTCAGTTGATTTATGCTAACTTTTGCGTCTGCATTGAGTTTATCTGCAAAACATTCCTTCTGACTGAACGGGCAGCGCAGCATATACCCTTGAACACATATTCCACCCGTTATAAATGATTTACGATAATTAATTCATGTGCAACACATACTACACTACCATATAAAAATAGCCATTTTCGGTGAGTTCCAAAAGTTCAAGTAACTGCATATAATTAGTCTGATTTTTATGCCTGACTCAGCGCTAGGTGAAAAATAAATAAATACGGCACGAGACGAGCGATATGAATAAACAGAAAGTCAAAAAGGAAAGTAAGATGATATTTTCAGCTTTCCAGGGTTAAAGGTATTGAGGAGGCTTGACGTGCGTTTTTCATTAAAGTAAAGCGCTTAAAGCGATTGATAGTCTCCAAAAATCCGACAACAGTCGCTAAGCAAACACTACTTCCCGTCCGCCATTCACATCAATATCTGTCGTCACACCAATTTCACGTGCTCATTCAGTCACACACTGCTGTTACGGAGGTCAATGGCAATACACGAGGATGATACAAGACTGCAACATCCACTCACTTGCAATGTCTACGCACTGTATTGCTACGAGCTCAAATAGCCATCATCAATGTACCACTCACTCAGCAATAGCTACGCACTGTATTGTTACGAGCGCATACATCCACAAGTACGATTCTTCTCAAAGAGTTCGCGTCTGAGGATTGATCACGACGTATCCTTATCATACCTCATCACACAATATCTTTTTAAGGTCCGCACTACAGTGGTATTCTCACCAACCAAGACCTCAAGCCCACTTGCGACAGACGTCGTGAGGTTCTCCGCCAATTCGGACCAGCAGTTCCGCGAAACACACTTTGCGCGCATCGTCGGATCGTGAAGCGCTTCAATCAGCTACAGATGGCGCCCGCGTCATCTATTGGAGTCCTTTATCGACCCGCCACTCGTGAAAACGCCACACGACCTCACACGTTCTATCGAGGATGACATCCGTACCGGTCAAATAACATAAAAACTGTCAGTTTCCTGATAGAAACGGACTTCATCCTCTCCTATTCACTGACTATCTCAGCTGACTTCAGTGTTTAGCCTAGCACTGAGCGTCCATCAGCCACAGTCAGAAAAGTGCTCATCCCTGCAGAGTCACATCTCTGACGATTCGCGTGTGCGTGACATTGAAATGGACGCGTCAGTCACACTTCTTTCCTCGCCCAGTGGTGAAGAGATGTGGCTGCTTAGTGAAACGCTCGATGTTCTAGCACGTTTTACGCGGACCAACTGACTGAAATCGTGCCATAGATCCTTCAGCAGTCGTGGGATGATACACGGTATGTTCGAAAGGCCTGGCCCGTCCGTAGTCGCTCTGCGCTCCCGAGATTTTTCATGTCTGGCCTGAGGTTTACCTTCTTGACGCCTTAAGCGCCTGAGCATCAGTCACTAGTTAGAAACACCCGGTACCTTCTACCAATATCTCTCTCAATGAACGCAACAACTGCTAACCCATATCAAGCAATGAGTAGGGATCACATCAACGTTCCGTCGTACACATTCCACCCGTTTCTACCGATTTCATCAGACCCTACAAGCGTCATTCCAGCAGACCATTCCTTCTCGCGCGGCGTCTATACCGAATTCAGTAGAACACAACTGAAGTCGACCCAGCCCATTGACTTCCCGATTCTTCACTCCACTGGCGTCTACCGAATCTAGAAGACCACAACTGAGGTACACCCCGGCTCACTGGCCTTCCTTCCTTTCTACAAACCCCACCAACTCCGGTTCTACGAGATCTGGCAGACGCAGCAATGCGGGATCCAGTAGAGATCGGTGTACATTTCTCCACCGTTGGGGTTCAGGCCGACCATTTTCTTTTGCACGTATTGCTGCTGGCACGTAGCTGTCATCCCGGCAGGAACAGTGCACAGGCCGCTGCACTGGCTCGACCTGGTGACCGGTCAAACGTCAGAGGCGGATCCAGGGCTAGCCAGAAAGGGGAATGGACCTGGCGACCGGTCAAAGTTCAGATGTGAAATGCGGATCCAAAGATATCCAGGAAGGGGGCAGTCGTCTGGAGACCGGAGACTTCTGAAGACCGGTCCAAAGGCGGATACAGGGCTGGCCAGGAAGGAGACAGTAGCTCTCTTGGCGACAGGTCACAGGTCAGCTGTCAGAGGCGGATCTAGAGATGACCAGGAAGGAGGCAGTAGCTCTTCTGGAAACCGGCCACCGTCCAGAGGCGGATCCAGGGCTGACCAGGAAGGGGGCAGTGGAAAGTAGAGCGCGAGCTAACGGAATAAATCTACTGCACTTCCCTCCAAGGTAAGATGTGCTCTTCTATGTATAATCTACGCAAAATCGGCTCACGCCATTCAAGACAAAAGCTACTTCGCAAACAGTATGCAGAAGTTTCAATTTATACTGCTCTTCTATGACGTAGACGTTTCAATTTAAACTAATTGACACTATTTATGTTTATTGCATGCTTATTTTTTTTTTTATAAATTTTGTCCGAACCTTTTGATGGGAAGGATTCACAAGGACAGAGCCACCGCTAAGCGAAGCTTGTTGCGATGACCCTGCCCTCTACCCTCCGATCGCGCAATTCCAGTTCTATGGCAGAATTTAGAGTCCAAAGTTTAACGTGCGCACAAAGCCGCGCACGGCCGGTCCCCTCGCTGACTTCGCCTGGCTACGGCCTGCCACCAACCGCAACCATACCTGTCAGGAGGCCCATAAATGTCGAGCGCCCGTCGCGCTTCGAACCCGGACTGTTATAACCGGGAACGCGTGCTCTCACCACGCGGAGTCCAACGCTCTAACCAACTGAGCTACGGGACCGGCACTAATGTACTAATGCTATATACTATATACTAATATACCAGTATAACGCCTTTTGGGGCGACTAACGGAGCGAGCGAGAGGGTGGGCCTTGCACGTGCGAAATTGCGAGGGGGTACCTCCAGCTGACTTGTGCACGGCACCCTACTAACTGGTCTCTAGCGATGTGCCAAATTTGGGCACAATCGGCCCAGCCGTTCTCGAGATCTGGAAGCGGCACCCTGCACGTGCGCACGTGCAAAATGGGTCTCAACTGACTTGTGCACGGCACCCTACTAACCGGTCCCCAACCGTGTACCAAATTTGAGCGCAATCGGTCCAGCCGTTCCCGAGATCTGGAAACGACCCCTGCACGTGCGCACGTGCAGCAGCACCCCAACTCTGGCACATGTATATGCAGTGCCTAGTGGGTGCCTACCTACATGCCAACTTTCAGCGCAATCGGCCAAGTAGTTACCGAGATATTGCAACAATTACAAAAGTGACACCTCTTCGTTTTGCACGTGGCACGTGCATAAGGGGTCACCCACATGCATCGGGAATAGTCCAATACTTGGTAGAAGGAATGAAGCTACCCTACAAAAATTACCGCGTGTAAATCGGTCAAGTGGTTGCTGAGATATAAGCCTCTCAAAAGCGTGACCACGGCCGGCCGGCCGGCCGGCCGCTCATACTCAGAAATTTCCGTTAATCTAAGGAAAGACTACGCTCGCTTCGCTCGCTCCGTAACTAATGCTTCTCGTGTTTTGATACTTGGTAAATAATGAAGCTTTATACACACACAAACATGTAGTTTCAATTCATGTCTCCACTCTCAACAAGAACAAAACGTTTAGGCCTTCAGAGAGGCACCGTTCACACCTCACGTGCCGGTGGTACTCACAGGCAGCGTTCCGATCTGATGAGCTGTGTGTACTGCTGGTCCAGCTCCCCCATGTTGATCAAGTAGCGCCATTCTCCCCGGTTGTTGAGCCCCGCCCGGGGCATTACAAATTGACCTGGGGACGCAAGCGCAGTGGTCAGTGGGGAGTGTCAATGGTGAGTGGTCAGAGGAGTCCATAGTCAGTGTAGAGTGGTCGGTGGGGAGTGTCAATGAGAGTGGTCAGTGACCAGTGTAAGGGGGAGGGGGGAGGGTCATTGGGGCTGGCAGTGGGAGGAAGCAGCTTGAGGAAAGGGAAAAGATCAGCGGGGAGGGACAGTTGGGAGTTCAGCAAACAGGAAGACCGTCTTCAGACTACTCAACAACCTTCAAAAACAAAGTAAAAAAGCAAAACTGTCCTGATATGATCATCGGCTCTGATGATGCGGTATGCACCAGCCGTCGTATTGTCGTTCTCCATTTATATTGATTAGCACGATGCTAAGGCCTTTATTTTCAATATTAAACTCCCACTGATTCAAATTTGATGAACAACTGGCCGCTCAAAATGGGAAATCCACACAACTTATCATCCTAGGACATTGGACACATCATTCAGGTCGACATACACATTACACAAGAACTCATCAATGACATCGATATGGCATCTAGTGATGACATCGATAGAAATGCAGACAGATCAACCAGCTGGAAAACTAACATAGTTACAAGCAGCTTCAAGTACCCAATGACACCACCTTGCACCATGCAACGTCATTCGTCACACACGATTAAACACATCAGCAATCCATCGAGCGTCAACCATCAATCCCTCAAACAGTTTAGCATCTAAGATGGTCTATTTTATAGTTTGCGCTACAAACGTAAAAGGAGCAAGGCCACTTGCACTGACCCCTACTAGCTAGTCAATCCGAGTGGGGGTGACCTGCGCCAGAAATCACGGGCGTCCGCTACGGCTGAACAGCGGCCGAGGCGATTACTTGGGGAAAATCTGGCTCAGGAGGCTGCAGTCATCTGTGTGTGACCCACATGGGTTTTCTAGCTACATGGCTCAGTGGTTTGATTATCTTTAAATGCGGTCAGCTGGGAGGGGGGGGGGGGGGGCATGAGTTGTCGGATGAAGCCAGACTACGGACGACGAGATAGAAATTCGATTTTATATAACCACTTATATAATACAGGCAGGGGGTGATACGATCAGGATATGATAAGAACGGTGAAGTACCTACCGCAACACAAGAACAGGTTAACGCCTCTAGTTTAGCACAATACAGCTGTAAATAGTAGGCATGCGATCGTTTTTGGTGAGAGTGGCTTATTTGAGATTTAACGTCTTATACCTTTAAGACGGTCATTTTTGAGCGGGGCATTTGCCGCATATATACTGTTATACAAACTTAAACGACGAATGTGAATTGATAAGTAGAGCATGCATAAACCTTTGAACAGGAACAGTTACTTAACAAGTTTTGTGGATACTTTTGCAATGTTTGCTTTGCTTAAAGCTCCGGATTACTGCGCAATGTTTTAGGCAGTAACATGTTGAAGCCTAATGCAAACACAAAACGAAATTAATGTAAAAAAGCATCTTATTCTTCTTTCTGTTCTGTAATATTTTGCCCTATGGTGGCCAAGAGAAAACAACTCTTTGAAAAAGAGAAAACAAGAGAAAACATTTGTTTCTTTCGCACCTGGCCCACTAATTATAGGTACACCGCAGACTGTAGATACAGCATTCGAATCAAATGCCAGACAATATTAAAAATTGTGACACTGCACTGGGGCTAGCGTTTGCAGTTGTTGCAAACTGCGTCAATGCTTCCATTTTAAACAAGTTCATCTCTTGGGTCTCAGCATTGTCTAAGTGTTAGCGTCCATCACCACTATTCGGCAGCACGAATACTTCCAAGTCATTTCAAAACATGAAATGGCAGCATAAGAGTCATCTCAGCAGTCTCCAGGGTCAGCACTCTGTTAAAAGTCATCCTGGAGCTCACAACAGGACAAAGTTCGTCACAATATCTCAGCAGTGTCGGGCACTAGACATCCTTATTCTTGACTTCTTCTGAGGCACTGATATAGCAGTTGTCTCAGGACTTTTAAGCACTAGCAGTCTATCAGGCATCAGCAGTTACCAACGCTAACAGTTTGTCAAAGTCTTTTCAGCAGTCTGTCAGTGATCACAGCAGTCTGTCTGTCTATCTGTCTGTATATCTGTCTGTCGATAGACAGTCTATCAGCAGTCTGTCAGTGATCACAGCAGTTAATCTGTCAAAGCCATCACCACTAACGGACCCTTGGTCATTGGGGGTCATTGGGGTCACTGGGGGCATTTGCCCTTCCTCGGCATCCGAACTTGAGGAAATTCTATCGTTATCCCTGCATAGAAAGAAAGCTAAACAGCGTTCATTTGGAAAAGTTTGCTTTTGACTAAGCCGCTAGGAACACTCGTTCACCGAAATTCCTTTTTTGAATTGGATTTATTTATTAGAGGGTGGGTATTGCAGCGTCCAGTGTAGTGATGTCAATTACGGAAAATCGTGATACCGATACTAAACCAAACACCAGCAATATTCATGGAAAATACCGAAATCCCGAACCGACTTGGGAATATGAGGAAAATACCAACTTTTACCAATTCTCAGTCTCTTTTACATTTGTGAAGATTCATAATACCAATAACAAAGGCACTCGCCTTGAAATACCAAATACTAAGTTGGTATCGATTTGGCATCGGTACAGGTAGGTACCAAAAAGTTGGTATCCGATTGACATCGCTAATCCAGTGCCTCCTTCCTGAAGATCCGCCGGAGGCTGTCGTCTCTCAGAACCGGAGCTCACCTGCCGTGGGACACAGCTGGCCAACGGTTGACGCCTGCCGCTTCTGCCGCGACGACGGCACCGAAAAACTGTAACTGAAACACACACACAGTCAATAAAAAATGGTGTCAGCGGAGCTATCATGCTAGGATGAGGGGTTCAAATCCCGGGACGAGATAATATTCTGTTGCGCTCACATCATATTATGTCGATAGATTTTCGCTTTTTCCCATTGATTAGATTTTAGCATGGATGATTCAATCCGCACCTGTGATTTTGATTTCATTTTACCATGATTTTACCACCATGATTTTAGCTTACCAATATGAGAAGCGCTTAGACGAGTGCATCATACATCTCCTTGATTTTCCACCATGCGTGCTATACAGACACGCATGGTGTCTGTATAGCACTGCACACATAACACAGGGCTGCGTGCTTGTAATATGTACCCACAGCGACGCCGTGTTTTCAGTCGCGAAAAATGCGTACAGTAGGTGAAATTACTTGTCTCGAAGTGATCCTAATAAAATTGAAATATTCATACCACAGAATGGGTGCAGGGGCTAATGAGAACATAAGTAAAAGTGCCAAAATGTATGTTAACTCTTCCCAACTCTCACCAGAACATTGTTAATTATAATAGAAGGCCAACACTTGCCTATCTTTGGTTAAAAAAGACATTGCTAAGCTTAGGAAATGTCACTGCCCGTGACATTACAGAAGGGTCCCAAGCCTAAACTAAACGAGCATTATTCATCACATGTTTTTTTTTCGGGACAGCTGCATTGTCATAATCCTCTAGCAGTTGCAAGTGCACTAAGCTTTGCCAACCATTCCACATGGCGTAGGGCTTTCTGGGACCTTTCACTGACCATATGTCACGACATTGCAGGCCGGAAATGGCGACATTAGCGTACTTACAATAGATTTTTGTGTCATTATCCTGTTCTGAACCACTAAGCGGAACAACAACCATACACTACACCACTGCTAATTGATCTGAAGCCAAATGTGCACGGAGATGAATTTTGCCACATTGCACAAGGCAGACTACTGTTCATGGCAGGCAATGCATTTCGGTGCGCCAATTAATCCACATGTGTGGCAACTAGTTGCAGCATCGCCACGGGCTTTGATGTTTGAATTGGAATGACGTTATCCATTGGAATGGCAGTAACAATGTAACCAGTATAACGCCTTTTGGGGCGACTAACGGAGCGAGCGAGAGGGTGAGCCTTGCACGTGCGAAATTTTGAGGGGGTACCTCCAGCTGACTTGTGCACGGCACCCTACTAACCGGTCTCTAGCGATGTGCCAAATTTGAGCACAATCGGCCCAGCCGTTCTCGAGATCTGGAAGCGGCACCCTGCACGTGCGCACGTGCAAAATGGGTCCCAACTGACTTTTGCACGGCACCCTACTAACCGGTCCCTAACCATGTAGCAAATTTGAGCGTCATCGGTCCAGCCGTTCACGAGATCTGGAATCGACCCCTGCACGTGCGCACGTGCAGCAGCACCCCAACTCTGGCACATGGATATGCGTTGCCTAGTGGGTGCCTACCTACATGCCAACTTTCAGCGCAATCGGCCAAGTAGTTACCGAGATATTGTAACAATTACAAAAGTGACACATCTTCGTTTTGCACGTGGCACTGGCACGTGCATAAGGGGTCACCCACATGCATCGGGAATAGTCCGATACTTGGTAGAAGGAATGAAGCTACCCTACAAAAATTACCGCGTGTAAATCGGTCAAGTGGTTGCTGAGATATAAGCGTCGCAAAATCGTGACCACGGCCGGCCGCTCATACTCAGAAATTTCCGTTAATCTAAGGAAAGACTACGCTCGCTTCGCTCGCTCCGTAATAAATGCAAACTTAATGACAAAAAGAAAATGACTTTCTAAATCACAAACTTTTTGAGGAGCATGTCCATCGCAATGTCAAATACGACCTTCCTGAATCAGCCAACGATGGTTAAACGTACAATAATTGAATAGTGTACCTATTCAATTCTAAACACCTACATTATTAGTTGCTTCCTCATGGCACTCACCCCCAAGTGTTTGAGTTGGTGTTGCTGGGCGCCCGATAGCCGCTATAGGGCTGCTCCGGGGGCGGCTTCTGCCGGGTCGAGGGCACACTGTACACCACGCCCGGGCCGCTCTGATAGGCCGAGCCGACCGATGACGTCACACCGCTGTCGAAGCCGATTGGCCGGCCGCGCTGACCTTGAATCGGCCTGAACTGTGATTGGCCGAGCGTCTGCGCGCTGATGAACGGAGCGCTGTAGCCTCTCGCACGGGTCTCCTCTTGTGTTGGAGGCCCGTAAGAGCGCGTTGGAGGCCCGTACGAGCGGCTCGGGGTCTTGGACGGCGGAGGTGGAGGTGCTGAACTGTTCCGGCTGAAACATGAAGCGCGTACCGTTGATCAAAACGATCCATTATCGTGAAAAAAAAAATCATGAGTCGTAACAGCGATTGAAATGCAATGAGGCTGGGGAGGTAATGAAAAACAAATTGTAGGCTACACTTGGGATATAATGATATCTTAAATAGTGTTTTTTTTTAGGTAAAATAACATCAGGTATGCAAAATACTATTAAATTTATCAAACTATCAGGGGATCAACGCCCCAAACCAGGATTCTTCCAGGCAAGGACCGTATGAGCACAGACAAGTAAGAAAGAATCAAAAGGAAGAAAAAGGAAAAGAGAGAGAGCGAGAGCGAGAGAGAGAGAGAGAGAGAGAGAGAGAGAGAGAGAGAGAGAGAGAGAGAGAGAGAGAGAGAGAGAGAGAGAGAGAGAGAGAGAGAGAGAGAGAGAGAGCTGACTCACGCAATACCGCTGGTGAGGGTGTCTCTATTCTCACTGGAGAATACTGTGGAGAGGTCGTACTTCCACCGAATGAGCAGCTTCTCGATCACCTCACTGTGAACAAAAAATGAGCGGTTGGTTAGCTTACTTAGCTACAAGTATCTTCTTAATTCTTATACAGGAGAGTGTGATTGAACCCGGAAAAAAACACGGAGGGAAATAACAATGACGTTGGTTTCACAGTGTACTCACAAAGTCCCATTTGGCAACTGTTTTTTTTTATCATAATGTTTATATCTGATAACTCCCCTGCAGTGTCACTCCGAACGCTTAGACCATCGATTTACGGTCTTCACACGACCCCCAGCCTGCCACAGCCAATGCACACTCGAGCGCTTATCGGGAGCTTCTTTGCTCGAGTGCTTCTTTGTTGCACCTTTAGCTACTTCCTCATCTCTCAATCCGATTTGTCAAGTTCCGTTAGTCGGACCACGTCGGACTATTCCCAGTTATAAATACCAGTAAAACGCCTTTTGGGCGAAGAACGAGCGAGCGAGATAGTGAGCCCTGCACGTGCGGAAGGGCGAGAGGGTACTTCCAACGGGCTTGTCAAAGCACTCTTCTAACCGGTTGCTAGCGGTGTGCCGAATTTGAACGCAATTGGCCCAGCCGTTTCTGAGACCTGGAAGCGGCATTCTGCACGTGCGCACGTGCAACCGGGGTCCAAAGTGACTTTTGCACGGCACCCTACTAACTGGTCCCCAGCCGTGTACCAAATTTGGGCGCAATCGGCCCAGCCGTTTTCGAGATCTGGAAACGCCCCCTGCACGTGCGCACGTGCAGTAGCACCCAAGCCGCAACACGTGGGAATGCATTGCCTGGTGGGTGCCTACCTGTATGCCAAGTTTCAGCGAAATCGCCCCAGTAATTACCGAGTTATTAAAATGGGAACAAATTTGACACCTCTTAATGTTGTATTTTGCACGTGCACAGGGGGTCACTCACATAGATCAAAAGTATCCGACCTTTGGTAGAAGGGATGCAGCTACACTATAAAAATTACCGCAAGACCATCGCCCAAGCGGCTGCTGAGATATGAGCCTCTCAAAATCACTACTTTTGCAAAACAGCTTGAACACCCTTGACTTTTCACGTGGCACGTGCCATGGCGGTCACTGAGATGTATCAAAAATAGTCAATTACGGGGTAGAAGGGATGGGGCTACCCAACAAAAAAGACCGCAGGCCAATCGGTCCAGCGGTTGCTGAGATATAAGCCTCTCAAAAGCGTTACAGGCCGGGCCGGGCCGCTCATACTGAGATTTTTCCGTTATATTGAAAAGACTCACTTCGCTCGCTGCGCTCGCTCGCTCGTAACCAGTAAAACGCATTTTGGGCGAAGAACGAGCGAGCGAGATAGTGAGCCGTGCAGCTGCACGTGCGAAAGGGCGAGAGGGTACTTCCAACGGGCTTGCGCAAAGCACCCTTCTAAACGGTCGCTAGCGGTGTACCAAATTTGAACACAATCGGCCCAGCCGTTCCTGAGATCTGGAAGCGGCATTCTGCACGTGCGCACGTGCAAACGGGGTCCAAACTGACTTTTGCACGGCACCCTACTAACTGGTCCCCAACCGTGTACCAAATTTGAGCGCAATCGGCCCAGCCGTTCTCGAGATCTGGAAGCGCCCCCTCCACGTGCGCACGTGCAGTAGCACCTTAACCGCAACACATGGGAAATGGGAATGCATTGCCTGGTGGGTGCCTACCTGTATGCCAAGTTTCAGCGAAATCGCCCCAGTAATTACCGAGTTATTAAAATGGGAACAAATTTGACACCTCTTATTGTTGTATTTTGCACGTGCACTGGGGGTGACCCACATGCATCGAGAGTATCCTATTTTTGGTAGAAGGGATGCTGCTACCCTACAAAAATTACCGCAAGTCAATCGCCCAAGCGGCTGCTGAGATATGAGCTTCTCAAAATCACTACTTTTGCAAAACAGCTTGAACACCCTTGACTTTTCACGTGGCACGTGCCACGACGGTCACTGAGATGTATCAAAAGTAGTCAATTACGGGGTAGAAGGGATGGGGCTACCCAGCAAAAAAGACCGCAGGCCAATCGGTCCAGCGGTTGCTGAGATATAAGCCTCTCAAAAGCGTTACAGGCCGGGCCGGGCCGGGCCGCTCATACTGAGATTTTTCCGTTATATTGAAAAGACTCGCTTCGCTCGCTGCGCTTGCTCGCTCGTAATCATCTCGTTGAGATAACCCGTTGCCGTTACAGCCGCTTGCTATGCTCTCCTAGTATCCTGAAACCAGTAAAACGCCTTTTGGGCGAAGAACGAGCGAGCGAGATAGTGAGCCCTGCACGTGCGGAAGGGCGAGAGGGTGCTTCCAACGGGCTTGCGCAAAGCACCCTTCTAACCGGTCGCTAGCGGTGTGCCAAATTTGAACGCAATCGGCCCAGCCGTTACTGAGATCTGGAAGCGGCATTCTGCACGTGCGCACGTGCAAACGGGGTCCAAAATGGCTTTTGCACGGCACCCTACTAACTGGTCTCCAACCGTGTACCAAATTTGAGCGCAATCGGCCCAGCCGTTCTCGAGATCTGGAAACGCCCCCTGCACGTGCGCACGTGCAGTAGCACCCTAACCGCAACACATGGGAATGTATTGCCTGGTGGGTGCCTACCTGTATGCCAAGTTTCAGCGAAATCGCCCCAGTAATTACCGAGTTACTGAAATAGGAACAAATTTGGCACCTCTTATTGTTGTATTTTGCACGTGCACTGGGGGTGACCCACATGCATCGAGAGTATCCTATTTTGGGTAGAAGGGATGCTGCTACCCTACAAAAATTACCGCAAGTCAATCGCTCAAGCGGCTGCTGAGATATGAGCCTCTCAAAATCACTACTTTTGCAAAACAGCTTGAACACCCTTGACTTTTCACGTGGCACGTGCCACGACGCTCACTGAGATGTATCAAAAGTAGTCAATTACGGGGTAGAAGGGATGGGGCTACCCAACAAAAAAGACCGCAGGCCAATCGGTCAAGCGGTTGCTGAGATATAAGCCTCTCAAAAGCGTTACAGGCCGGGCCGGGCCGGGCCGGGCCGGGCCGCTCATACTGAGATTTTTCCGTTATATTGAAAAGACTCACTTCGCTCGCTGCGCTCGCTCGCTCGTAATTATTCGGTCAGGCAATTTTTGTCTCTTGGTAATGCCGGGTTCACACCGGATTCCGGACCGGCAAAATTCCGTCTGCCGGGCCGGAAAAATGGCCAATTCCGTGCCGGAAAATTGAAAACTGGTGTGAACCGGCAAATCTGGCAACTTCTTTTGACCGGTCCGGCAGGCCGGAGAGCCAGATTTTCCGGTCCGGCAAAAAGTTGAAATCATCTCAACTTTTGCCTAGCCGGATAGCCACCGTTTGTGATATGAAATTAAGGCACGAGGGAAATAATGTTATGTTTCAGCGCTACAGGACCAATTTAACCAACGGTGCCCTAATAGTCTCGCGATTTTTCACGAGAATATAAAATTCAAGCGTAAATTTGACGGCGTTTCATTTTTATTTCAAAACATTTGCATCTCAAACGGAGTGATAGCTACATTCCTGTTTTTGTATTTCACATGACTCATGGCCTTTTCAAATTATAAATTAATTTCATTGGTTGGAAAATATCCATGACTTTATAATAAAAAAGATAAATATTATAAGGAAGCGGTGAAAAGGGCGAATTTGTGGAACAACATTGCGGACGCGCTGGTTGTAGAAGGAGCGGAGCCAGTATCTGCAGAAGAGATTATCAAGCGCTGGAGCCGGCCGCAGGACAGGTAGCACAATGTACGTATTGCTAACTTCCGTCGTCTACGAAGTGGAGCCAGCCGAGCAGATTCTGAAATCTACATTCTACAAGACGCGCTGACAACACTTCTCTGCCCTCGATGCCCTCCTACACAAGCACATAGCAGCTCGGGAGGGTGGAGGCAGTTTTGCCATTCAATCGCAAGTAGAAGATTCAGGAAATACGATGGTACTGAATGCCAAGGATATTATCCCGCGCCCTGCTGGGGGTGGGGGTGGGGGGGATATTTGAACCCTCCCTGTGGTTTTTCGCGAACATCTAAAAAACGGCGGCTGTTTTTGGCACACCTTATCATGCATCTTTTCTGCACATGTAAAAATTGTAGACCAAGGTCACTTAAGGTCAGGTCACCAGGTCACTTCAAGTGACCTCACCTCATACAAAGTTTCAACGTCTTCCATATGCTACATCGAGCGACCGACCTCTTTGAAACTCTCAGCGATTGATAAGGGCAACAATATGTACACAATTTAAATAAATAACTATCTCGGAATTTTGATATCGGTGACCTAAGGTCAGGTCAATTTTGTGACCCCCCCCCCCCATTATAAGTCAATGGGAGAAAATTGATGCCAAGTTATGCGTTGGCTTGTTGTAAATCGTCGACATTCGACCTGAAAATCGGTGAAATTCGGCTTTCCATTACCTCTGGTGACCTGACCTTTGATTTGACCAAAAAAAGTGACCGAATTAATTTCGTCATTAATTTTGACACTCTTTCGAACGCCGCCTTCCCCGTATCGCTACGTGGCCCAGGAGCCGAGTTAAAAGGGGGGATGTTAAACACCTCCACCAGCAAGGCGTGGAAATTTAGGACCCCCAGCGGGGCGCGGGTTATGGCAGTAGAGTTCAGTGACAGTCAGATGACCGATTTTGAGACCCAGCCATCTACATCAGCAAGCGTAATATCAAGCTCGCCGTCTCTAATGCGCCCTGCCCAGCCCTCAATTCCTCTTTGTTCGCAAGTGTTTTTAAACCAACAACAGCCAAAGCGCGATTGAAATTTATTAGTGTCTTTTTGTCGATACCCAGCCCGCATGCTGTAAATGTTAAATTGTATTAATCTTGCTAATATACCTACCAGTGAAGTATGGATGATTTTCGGTTGGGTGGAACTGCATCAGGGACTTGTAAAGCCGTCACACAAGTATGTTCGATTTCAAAATAATTCGCGAGATTGCTTGGTACCTACTACCTACTTATCGTACTTGATGGTTGATGATTATGACATTTCCGGCTCGACTTTCCGGTTTTCCGGTTCTAGCGACTTTTTTTGACATCTAGCGACAATTTCAACATTTTGGTGCCAGCCCGGCAGACGGAATTTTTCCGGACCGGAAAACCGGTGTGAACCCGGCTTAATTAAGGGCAGAAGGTCGCTCTCATATGTATAATAAGATGGCCCTTAGTATAGGGCCAACATTCATCGTGGAAGTTTATTTGCTCCCAACACAGGCACTCACCAGGCTTTTTGATAAAACCCGGGAGGCATTTTTTCTATATCGGTTCATTTCAACCCGCCGCGCGGTGATATCGAAGTTTAAACCTATCAGTAAGGTTTAACTTTAACCCTCTACGGCCGAAGAGAGGGGTTGATACCACCTCTGACAGTCATTTCGAGATGCTTTGATAGATATTTCAAATACGATACTGAAATCTAATACCACATTGAACATACCCTTCAGTCACGGCATACCCTCTCATTTTGTGCACAATGTATGTACATTTCAATGGATATTTCCGGCGGTGTAAAGATTTGTCAGCATGCGAATAGTTTGTCAAAGTCGCGTGAATGCATTTCAAATCCATATTAATTCAACATATGCGTTCCCTTGCATGTAAACGTGTGCGATGATCAGTAGCTACTCAACAAGTATTTCAAAACTTGTGTATGTGTCACCTAAAAGACACCTTGGCACTAGGAGGATATTTGTGCAGCTTGAAACATGATGTGATGTATATTGTACATATAAAGCACGCTGACCAATGAACATCTCGTACGTAAGCCACACGAACAATTGTCTGGCGGCTACTGTCTTCTCGCCACCATTAATCAATGTAATCATTAGCAGGTCCTAGGCAGAATGAACAATCCGTTACCCCTTGCGTAACAACATTGCATCGAGGGATTACTGGGCATTTTACGTACGTACCACCGAGACTCTGAAGGTATAGAGAAAGCTGTGTAGTAAAACCACCCACACGATTCTCCCCCGGTGACCCCGCACCGAGGTGATCGGGTGTCATCTAATTTCTGCTAGAGACGGCGGCACACGGCAGTTAATGTCCCGACAAGATCCATATCCCTGACAGAGCCCGGTGCGACAGGCTATTTCTCAACCTGTGACAGGGCTGTAGCTTAAAAAAAAATAATAAGGAGAAATGTCGGTGAACATCCGCCGGTAGCCACCGCAAGGGTGTCTTCCGAAAAAAATTAGCCGTTACGACGGTTTTTCGATATTTCATATGTCATTCTTCGCGTATTCGAGCCATTATCGGATATAGTACAATGCGAGCCACAAGAGCTGCTGAAAGCTGTCTACGTCAGGGCCAAATAGGCCCAACAGCGATGTGGCTTTAGAAAACAAAGCACATGAGAACAAACAGAGCTTTCTCTTCTCTCATACAGTAAAATCATCAACCATGACCTGGATGATTGTATCAAACATAACACCTTGTGGAGATAGGTACCGTAGTTACCGTAGGACTTTTGAGATTTCGTAAGGTGAAACAACTGTCTTTTCTTATCCCTCGTCCACTCTTATCCCTTTCGTTATGCTAAGTCTCGTGGCATTTAGCCGATGACAACCTCTCTTGTTATCACGTTCTTATGAAAACAAGGAGTGCCCGACTGTTGATAAGTGAACCGCAAGTGCTCGACATGCGCCATCTTTATCAAGACAAGCTTATGGAAAATCTTCCGGTCATCTTTCAACAAGCAAGGACAAAGCATGCACCATATACGTCGCCACCGGGTTGTCAGAAGTTGCTCTCTCGTGGATTATTTCACAATGCCGCCCTTCCTTCAGAAGATCGCCATTAAGCTCCTAAGCCGCTAACGGCGGTCACTGGCATTGCGAAAATCCCCACAGACCACACCTAGGGATGGTCGGCGCCTTTGAACGAAGCACGAGACTCCTAAAGAGGTCGCGGGGTCTTGCAGAAGGAGGGAAGGATAAGATTGTCCGTCAAAAAAAAAAAAAATAAAAAAAAAATCGGGCCTGAGGAGTGCACACGTACTTTTATTTTGTCTTCATGGCATTTCACTCTGTTTAATACATAGAATGCTGTGCTTATAAAGGGGTTAACGCGTCATACTTTGAGTTGAAATTAATGGTAACAAAAAGTTATTTAGATTCATTTAACCATGAGCATTCGTGAAAAATGTAGCATCTTTCGATGATGTGGAACGTGACATGGCGTTCCACACAATCACGATGCCACCAGGTTCTCATTTTTTATATCAGTGATGTTCATCAAGATAACAGTGAAGATGATCATGTTGATTTCTTTTGCTACACCATGCTTTACCAGCATCCAGGGTTAGGATACATGAGGGAATGTACATAGGGCAGATAAATGACAAATCTCAAAGTCACATCATTCTCGATGCAGGATGCTGGAAAGCACAGATTTCATGAAGAACAATGGGCAGAGCAGCAACATAGTGCACAACGCAAACAAAAAATTATCGCACCAACCGGGACACATTCCTGTTGATGACGTAATAAATATCATGCGATATATCAATCTTTGATATAACTTTATTGATCTCCAGACAAGGGTTCGACCAATAGCGACCGAATTAGCGGGGATGCACAATACCTACCTACTATCCATACAACTCTAGAATATTTGTCGATTCAGCTCTGGAACCTCCAGACACAGTACCGGAATGAACTCGAACCCAGTACCGGAGCCTGTGTGAATCAGCGCAGGAGGCTCCCTGGACCCGATCCAGAGCCCTTGTGGCCAGAAGCCATGTGGGTAGCTGCTTGGCTCGCAACTAGCTCTGATGCAACAATCGACGCCGTCAAGTCGGCACCGCCTAGCCGTCAAGTCGCACCGCCTAGCTTTGTAGATGGTTCGGCTTGGAACCTTCAAACATTGGTACTAACACCTCCTAAATCAAATTGTTTAAGTACCTTAACAACGGTACTGTTTTTCTCCAGATCGCCAGATATGGTGCCAGTACAATCGTGCAGCCGATGACCTGACATCTCCCCCCCCCCTGAGTCGGATTTCCAAAACCGGTTCGGAGGCCGCCAAGCGAACTGAATCAATTTGGCACGGCACTGGAATCCCAGGAACGTGCCATGGCAGTGGCGTATCCAGGGGGGAGGCCAAGAGGCCATGGCCTCCCCCTTTGGCATCAAACATGCAAGTGGGCCCTTTGGGTCACTTGAGTGCAGTGACGTACCCAAGGGGGGCCATGGGGGCCCTGAGGGGCGCCCTGGTTACCTGAGGGTCGCCCTGGTTACCTGAGGGTCGCCCTGGTCACCTGAGTGGTCCCTGGTTATCTGAGGGGCCCATGGTTATCTGAGGGGCCCCTGGTTATCTGAGGGACCCCTGGTTATCTGAGGGGGCCTTGGTTACCTGATTGGTCCCTGGTTATCTGAAGGACTCCTGGTTACCTGAGGGGCCCCTGGCTACGGGGTCCGGGGCCCTGGTTATCTGAGGGGCCCATGGTTACCTGAGGGGCCCCTGGTTTCCTGGGGGCCACTGCTTACCTGAGGGGCCCCTGATTACCTAAGGGGCCCGTGATTGCGTGAGAGTCCCTGATAATCTGAGAGGCCCCTGGTTGGTTACCAGTGGGGCCTCTTGGTATATGAGGGGCCTCTGGATACCTGAGGGGCCCCTAGTTATCCAAGGGGCCCCTAGCTACCTGAGAGCCCCTGATCCCCTGGGTGACCCCTGGCCAGTGATCTGAAGGAACCCTGGTCACCTGAACGGCCCATGTTTACCCGGGGAGTACCTGGTAATATGAAGGGCGGCTGCAGTC